TGGGGCTTCGCTCTCGGACGCCCCGGTCCTAGAATAGCCAGAGTTGACCCGTCCCAGCGATTAAGGGTTTAGTGCTTACGTGTTTAGTTTTTGGGTTTGGCACTTGTGGCTTATGCTTTGTCAGCAGGACCAGGTGCGGTACAAAGAATCAGAAGCCTGCAGAATTCGTAATACTACACCTGAGGGCAGCAAACCGGCGTGCCAGAACCACCCTGGAGAATGCCAGGGGGCATGCTGCAATCTTCACTTGGATACAAGCTGCACCCGGCAAATTCTATTTGCCAGATCTTTTTCGTATCTACTTGGCTGGTGCTGGACAAGATTTTGCAGCATCCTGTGTCCTGTGTGGTGTATCTGCTTCCTATCTGCTTTGCAGGGCCTATGGCGGACAATTCAATCGAGGTGCAGCTCGAGATCTTCACAAAGTCCGCTCATGATTGGCGAAAACCGGCCAAAGTCCCTCTGCACATCACTGTCTTCAACCACGATAAGCTTGCTTATAAGGACAGTGTGTCGGGCGACCCTGCAGGGACCTGGAGCAAGTGCACGTCATCCATTGTGAAGAACAGCACGCAGATAAATGCAGGCGAGATGTGGGCCCGCTGATGTTTTACATGAAGCGAGCTTGCGATGCAATTGGAGACTTCATGCAAGGCCTTTGCAAGGCTGACTTGTGGATTGCCGCTGTCTTGCACAATGTTTTTTGCTAATTATTGTAAGGTTAAGGCCAGCCTAAATCTAAGAAGGGTCTCGGTTCTAGTTGAGTAGGGCCTGAATGGTTTAGGGTTTAGGGTCTGAGTCTTCATTTTCCAATACTATAGATGCTAACGGTCCCTAATAGCAAGCCCCTGAACCGGAGCTATTATCTATATATATATATATCTCTCTCTCTATATATATATATATATCCTAAACCCTAAACCCTAAACCCTAAACCCTAAACCCTAAACCCTAAACCCTAAACTATATATATATATATATATATATATATTTGGAGCTATGTCCTATAGCGCCCATAAATTCTTCGACCCCATCGCCTCGCTGTCTGCGCTTTCCAGGACTTTGCCGCCGACAGCTCCGTAGATTTGGAGAAGGTCCCTCCGGGTGTAGGGTTTAAGGTTTAGTGCTTAAGGTTTACTTTAGAGTATGGTTCTTATAGGGTGTTCAAGGGTTTTTTTATACACTCAAATGCATTACACAGTTTTGTATTTTACCTTACGGTTTGGTAGTGTGCCGTATAGGGTTCCACGAGGGGAATGCTTGGGTTTTACACGGATTTTGCAGGGTAGGGAACTGTCCAAAGCACCTAGTTCTAGAAGTTTTTGGGCCTGAATCTGTTGGGTTGACAGGGCTTGCAGCGTAGGGTGTAGGGCGTGGGGTTTAGGGAGATATGGAAGGCTCTGAAAAATTTTAAGCCTTTCAAGCACAACAAGAAAAACTAAGCCCTAAAAAGGAGCTGAAAGCCCCCAAATCCCTGAGAAAGCTGTCTTAAAGACCTTAACTAGTCCTGAAGTCTGAACATGTGCTCAGGGTGGTGGCTCCGCGATGTCGGAGGCATTCAGGAGCGAACTTTGGGTTTCGGGCTTATTTATAGACGGGTCTTATCAGGGGGTAGGGTTTAGGGGTTTAGGGTTCCTTTTAGGGCTTCGGGTTTCAGGGTTTAGGGTTTAGGGGTTTAGGGGCTTGAGGTTGAGGGTCTAGAGTCGAGGGGTTGCGATCTAGGGTTACAGTGGAAGCCAGAAAGTTGGTGAGGCGGGATTGTGTAGGCTAATCTTGGTGTACATTAGGGTTTTAGACGGTTTTGGAGGTTTTTTTTTTTTAAGGGTCCTTGAAGCCCTTTTGTGTGAACCCTAAGCCAACCAAACCCTTAAGCGGACGTAATTTGGGCCCTTAGCCCATACCTCTAAACCCTACCAGACCCTTAGCTATGACGATATCCCATGTTTAAACTCTAAAGCACCAGAAACCTAAGCCCTAAACCCTAGACCCAAGCCGCTTGCCCTAAAGGCCTGTTTGAACCTTATGCCAAAGAATCGATTGCTACTAAGCCCCAACGATCTCGGACCTGGGCTGATCGCAATTTCAAAAGCTTGCAGCCATGACGGTTTAGGGGTTTAGGCTTTAGGGGTTTAGGGGTTGTGGGGTTTAGGGTTTAGGGTTTTCATCATCGCCTTCCACTATACCCGACCAAACGGAGACCTACGGCAGAGGGAACAGAAAGCCTCCAAGAACAGACCGAGCACAACGCAACCCAAGTTAAAATAAGTCTCCTTAAATCCTAAACCCCTAAGCCCTATTGAACCCTAAACCCTAACCTGCAGACCGTGCAAAGATAACCGAGGTGCCGGAGCGAACTCGCACCCGCGCAATCAAGCCTGAAGGGGAGGCCCACCCGCTTGGGAGACGATCCCGAGCTCCGCTGCCAAGACTCACTCTACCCCCAAACCCCAAACTCTAAACCCTAAATCCCACAACTCTGAACCCTGAACCCAAAACCCCCGTCGACATCTGCAAGCGGTCGATATTCCGCCAGTCCCACGCCGTGGTTCATCCTCCAACGGCTGGCTCTGCTCGGGATCAGCTGCAACGTCTCCTACTTGAAGACGAACAAGACGTCTTAGAACCCTGCTGGTCCTAAACCCTTACCACTGGGAAGTTGCACCACAGGGTCGTTGCAACGGCAGTTCTTGAGCTTGTCACTGGCCTTCTTCTACAATGGTTTCTAAGGGGCTTGCAACAGGGTCTGTAAGAGGTTCCAGTAAGTGTTCTATGAAGGTGTCTACATAAGAGTTCTTCGTCACTGGTACTGCTTATGTCTTCCATTTCACCTTATCATGCTTAGGGGATTTAAGGAGCAGGGGTCTTTCCTTTAGGGTCCATGACCTGCATACTTGAAGCTCTGGCGTGCTTGTCCCACTTTACTTGGAGCTATCATAGCTGTGTCTTGTAAACACACTGTTTTGCGTGGCCAGAATGTGAATTTCATCCAGGCAACTTTTGACACGAAACTTCGCAGGTTTGTTGTCTTGGGCCGAAGATTGACTGGAGTTGACAATGTAAATGTGTGTTGCCCCACGAGAAAATGCACGTTTTCAGAGATGCTGAACTTACCCTCAGGAGACATGTCATTGTCAGTAGAAAATGTGCAAGTACACGACAACTCGTTTTTACCGGGTGAAACGCGTTTGACCCGGTAATTACAGTAAGGGGTTGTCGCGCACTTGTACGTGTTTTTCAGAGTAACTCATGTACATGATAGTACAGTACGTGCTGTCGCAGAACATGCATAGGCTAGCACGGCACGAGACATAGCGTCGTACAGGATGCAGGGGATAGCAGTGCACTACACGGTCAAGCAAACCTTCCCTGAAAGACCACGGCTTCTGTGGCAGTCACAGCTCTCCCTTCGCCTGCCGCAGCCACAACGGCACAGTGTCGTCTTGGAAGAAGTGTGCCGGGGCAACTCCGCAGCTACGACCCCAACGTCTCCGGAAAAGAAAACATGCAAGAAGAAGTCATTACGGAAGGGAAGAAATGAACACATGCAGCAAGAGCGTCTCTTCCCATGAACGTCATCAGCCTCCCCCACTCCCACCCGCCCTCCCCTCCCTGTTCCCCGCTTCTCCGGCGGGGCTGGGCGCTGGACCGGCGCGGAGCGTTAGAAGAAGATCGTTGAAGCCATTATACTCCTTCATAGCTGAGTTTATAGCGACTTGCAGCCCTAACCCCTCAGAGGAGGCCGCTGCCCTCCAGTGAGAAGCTCCACCGATACACAATTGTATCTGTGGCATGCCCAGTTTTTCAGCTCGCTTCTATAGATATGGTTCGTGTACAGGGTTTAGCGTTTGCTCTAAGTGGGGTCCAAGTACCTAATAAAATCAGAATATGTTCTTCCCAGATAGTAGCCTACGCAACTAGGGATTTTAACCTTACCCTAAGCCCTAAACCCGAAGCTCTCAAGCGTTGAGCCCATAGGGTTCTGAGGACTCGGTGCAGTTTAGGGTTTAGGGTGAGCTGAAGCAGCGTACGACATGAAGGTTTTTGCGTCTATTTGGATCTGTTGGGCCCGAGAATGGTTAGGATTGAGGGTTTAGTGCTTGAGGTTTCGGGTGCTCTTCCATAGAGGCTTAATATAGGGGCCTTCATAATTAGAATAGGGTTTGGCGGTATATTATACCATAACCATAATGAGGACCACCCGAAACCCTATTCTAAATAGTAAGGCCCCTACAGTATATTCACATGATTTTGCATCGCAGTTCCTGTTCGTATCGTCGCAACATGCTATGGGAAGGCGGTTTCCCTTTTGAAAAACGGACTGGTTATTCCAGATTAATCGACATTCCGCTTTGCTTGGGTAGTTTTCTGCATGAGCCTCTGCCTTCAGGCCTAATGACCCTAAACCCTAAGCCCTAAACTCGAATGAATGCGCACAGCACTCTTATGCCCGGATCGACACAGTGAGCTTACGGATCTTTTATAGGGCCTTCCCCTAGTCCCTAAACCTTTTTGGGTCCCTTGCGATTCAGGGTTTAGGGCGGTAAGGACGGACAGAGGATTCGCTATGTCTATAGGGGTCATCAGGGTTCCTAAGGGTTTAGGCATCAGGGTTTTTGTGCGGAGCCGTGCCGTTTAGGAACTTTAAGGTTTACTGGAAGCCGTGCACTCGAGGAACAACAACATCCACCTGAAGTCAGTCGAAACTGCTCATCTGCAACCCTATACCATCCTCAAACTTAACCCCTAAGCCCTAAACCCTAAGCCCTAAAGCAGAAATAAACCTTGAACCCTAACCCCTAAGCCCTAAACCCTAACCCCGAACCCCGAAACCCTAAACCCTTTGCCTTAAACCCTTCCCAAACCCTAGCCCCTAAACCCCAAACCCTAAGCCCTAACCCCTAAACCCTAAGCCCTAAACTCTAAACCCTAAGCCCCAAAGCCAGCAGCCTTTGCCTTCTCAAAAGCAAGGGTCAGTTAGCGGCTAATTTTTCAAACGCAGCATGGGCTGTTCGCAGGGCATTCAAACGCCTGAGGAACCAAAAGCCGCCATCAAGAAACTGGATCCTGGTCGTGTCTGGTGGCTCCTGTACGGTGTTTTGTTTTGGGGTGCACCGAAATCCTATGCTAGAGTGGAGAATAAGACCACAAAACTAGAGCACTGAGTCGGGATTGCCGGAAGTAGGCTTTTGCCCTAAACCCTAAACCGAGTTTAAGAAGGCTTGAGGTGTTTCGGGATGAGCTGTGCAGGGTTTATGGCTCATGGGTTAGGGGATTGCGCGAGGATCTGGGGTTTAGGGGAAAGAGGCAGTTGACGGCTTCGGGTCGGGCTTATTTACGATTGCGGTTTGGGCTTTTTGGATTGTCGGCTGGGGTACGGCGTCATGAAATCTTTCAGAAGGGTCTTGATGCATATCGTTCTTGCTTTGAACTTAGCTGCCCATCTCTGCGATTTGTGAATATGCCACCAAGTTGTTGTATCTGCACCCAAAAGTACTCCGTGGCACGAGCACCTGAGTCTGGGAACTAAGTCTCCGTCGTCAGTGTGAACCAGCTGTAGCACAAAAACACAATGATTAATTTGTTTCGACGAAAGCACAACTCACCAGGTCAGCAGATTTCCCCTTCCTCAGAACACTGGAGAACGGTCGAATCAGCTGCTTCTGCGAGGGATCACTAGACCATACTGTAATCCCTAAACACCTCATCCCCTAAACCCTAAGGGCTATGTCCCAAATCCCATAGTTTCCGGTTTAGGGTTTGGGCTTTACGGTTAGCTTATATTATAGTATATTACAGTATATTAGAGTATACGATAGTATATCATAATATGTATTATACCATATTCTATTGTATTATTGTACAGCATAACTAAGTCCCAAATCCCATCGTTTGGGGAAGAGGCGGAAGCTCCTCGTGCGCATCAGGACAAGCTGAGCCCGTGGTCATCTGACTCATTGTCATCTGAGTCTACACGCGAAGATGCTGATGACGTGGCGAATGCAGGCTGGGGTTAAGGGTGTAGGGCTTGCCGTAAAGTAGCGCATAAGCGGAAATATATCTTGCAACGGTGTCAATTCACGTGCATCATGGTATCACGATTAGCCGCTGAAGCCCGATACGTAGTGGAGGGCTCTTGCTGTCTTCTTTCCCACCCCCCGCCATTTGAGGCGGCCAAGCCACCCCAAACCGATTCTTTTCAGGGTTCAGCCCTAACTCATTCCATGGGTTTTCAGCCCTAACTCATTCCATGGGTTTTCTTCTTTACTTCAAGCTTGTTAATGCAGCAAAAGGCAGGAATCAGGGCGAGGGCAGTGCAGGGCAGGGCAGAGGCAGGGAAGGAGGGGCCGAGAAAACAATTTTGGCCAAGTCCCCTTCTCTAGGACCAACCTAAAGAGACGTGGGTCCTTCAATTCTGTCGCTGGAGGCTGTTTTTCTGGGGGGCACAAAATGGCCGACCATGGGTTTTGGGTGATTACCCTCAAGGTAGCGCAGGTCCTGGAGAGAACCTTGGCTCTGCGCCAAATGGGTAGTTCTCTAAATTAGGGCCCCTGTTTGGGTCCCCAATATAGTACGGCACCCTTACAAAAAGGACCCCAAAAGGGACCCTAATTTAGAAAACTACCCAAATTAAGCGCCACCGACGTGAAAACCTAGTCCGTGAAGGCTAAATCCTAAACTCCACGGGCCTGCGCGCGTTTGAATCTATCTAATTCTAACTGCCCAGGCTCTGTGGCACAGTTGAATCTACGCTGCTAGACATTTAGAGCACCCGAAACCCTAAACCCTTTAGAGCAAACCCCTAAAACCTGAACCCTAAACCCTAAACCCTAAACCCTAAACCCTAAACCCTAAACCGTTCCCGTTGTGAGGCATTGCTGTGTCCTCATGGGCTTTGACCGGCCAAGGAGCTCAGAAACGGTTAAGGGTTTAGGGTTTAGGGTTTTGGGTTAGGGCCTTAGGGACTTTGGGGTTGAGGGTTTAGGTGTTTAGGGCTTTAGGGTTTAGCGGTTTAGGTCTCGAGGGTTGTAGGAGTGTAAATGCTCAGTGATTCTGCAGGGTTTGGATTGTGGTAATATGGAGGCCTTAATAATTAGAATAGGGTTTGGGGCCCATGATAGTACATTTAGAATAAGGAACCCTAGCAGTTATTGGTAGTCTTTTGCGCCCCCTATAGTCTTCGAAATCGGGGAATGTTGTTGCCGCTGGAAGCTGCAAGAATGTGGAATGTGCGCAACCGCGGTTTAGGGTTTAGGGTTTAGGGTTTAGGGTTTTTTGTTGACGAAGCAGTTTTAATTTCCTCCAAATGACAAAGCAAGGAAAGGACAGCCGGTAGTTTGAAGGTTCAGGCACAGCAACCCTAAACCCTGAGCCCTAAACCCTAAACCCTAAACCCTAATGAACCCTAATTAAAACCCCTGAGCCCTAAACCCTAAACCCTCGAGTCCCAAACTCGAAACCTCCCAAGCCATTGAACCTCAGGATCCGCTCGAGGCAGTCCGTTTGCAAGTGTTTTAGGTTTAAGGGTCCGTTTTAGGGTCCCATAAGGGCTGCTATACTATAGACTTTCTACAAGGGTACTGTACTATGTTGGTTGTAAATAGGTAGTTCTCGAAAATAGGGTCTCTTTTAGGATCCTTTGATATGGGTGCCGTACTATTTTGGGGACCTGAAAAAGGACCCTAATTTAGAGAACCGCCCAAACGTAGCCTGTTCATCCGACTGATGGTCTTGTGACTGGTCCTCCGGTACTGCATTGTCTCAAACAGCATGTCATGCATCTGGCAAGCCACAAAGCATTCCTCTTTCTCTTGATGTACGGGTTCTTCTGAACTCATATTGCACTTCCCGTTATGAGTAGGAGAGCATTCCTGAACAAAACCCGAAACCCTAAACCCTAATGTCTGAACGAATGCCCACGGCCGCCAAGTCTACACAAAGAATACCATCTTTGCTAGCCTCAGGGATGGGTTTTTCTGGTAGAAAATCATAGCATATTATGATACCCTAA